TGTCGGGGGGGTTTTTGGTTCAATATGTGAAGAGTGAAGGATGTAGGTTTGTGTTTATTTTCAGGGTCATGATGTGCACTGAAGATGGTGCTTGGTTTTGTTGTACGAGGTGCAATAACAATAAAAAGTAAAGTAAAAGTAAAGAAAAGTAAAAGTAAAGTAAAAGTACAGTAAAAGTACAGTAAAAGTAAAGTAAAAGTAAAGTAACGTAAAAAAGTAAAGTAAAAGTAAAGTAAAAGTAAAGTAAAAGTAAAATAAAACTAAAGTAAAAATAAAGTAAAAGTAAAAAAGTAAAGTAAAAGTAAAGTAAAAGAGGTAAAAGTAAAGTAAAAGTAAAGTAAAAGTAAAGGTAAAGTAAAAGTAAAGTAAAAAAGTAAAGTAAAAGTAAAGTAAAGTAAAAGACTAAAGTAAAAGAGGTAAAAGTAAAGTAAAAGTAAAGTAAAAGTAAAGTAAAAATAAAAGTAAAGTAAAAGTAAAGTAAACGTTCTGGACAAGTGGCACTCCAGTCTCTGCCTTATTGATTCAAGCTTCTGGCTTCGGAACGGGGTGTGGCAGCCAAAGGCCAACACAACCGTGTGGAGGAGTGGGGGGCACAGAACCTCGACGTCGGTCACATACCCAGTCTGAACCCACACGCAAATGAATTCCCACGTAGGGCCTCAGCAGGAGGGTCTTAATATAGAACTCTCCTTTCTCCGCCATCTCATCGGACCAAACCACGTAACGCTGCAGGGGACGGTGCTCTTCCAGGACAGGAAACTGCGCCGGGGCACCCGGGAGGGCGAGAACGGGATGTTCGAAGGAGGGAAACCTAGGAGAAATAAAAAAATGTTAATTATTCGCCCTTTCTCTTGGTGGCCAAAGGGAAAAAAGAGCTGCCAGCCTGACTGAAAATCTGAATCAAGTGGACAAGAAAATATCTCTGAAGCGTGGCTATTTCTTTACCTTTAATACAGAGAATACTTTATTGGACACCCAAGGGAATTGTCTCTGGTGTAGGGGTTCTCGGTGTACATTCAAAGCACCAGAGTGGTACTAATCGTAGTAAGGAGGCCAATGAGAGAGGGTAGTAGAGAAGAATGAGAAGGATGATGATGACAATAATAGTCCAGTTCTTTCTCTTCTATAGCGCCAGCAGAATAGGAGAGAAAGAACGGGAGAAGATTAAAAAATTACAAAGATCTACAAGTGGAAACAGAACAACTATGGCAAAGGCAAGCAAGGGTAGTATCACTAGTAATAGTTACTCGTTACCTTTGGTTCCAGACATCCTTGTAAAAGGCGCTGAAGGAGACGCCTCCGAACAACTCCGACCTATCAAACTCCACCCCAAATTGATCCCAGAAAGGCCCAAAGGGATTCCCGTCCTGCAAAACAAAATACAAGGGAGGTTGAAAAAGGCGTTTTTATGATGAATTGAACAGGTTATTTTTTTTCTTTTTGAAACTATGAACGTTTTTGACGTAATTGAAGGGGAAAGTACCGTGAGGAATCTGATTTTAAAAGGTATAGATGTTATGGAGTTGCTAGGAGATTATTGCTATTAATTTTTAAAGTGATAATTAAAAAGTTAAATGATTACTGAGACTTCAAGGGGAATTAATTAAATGACGTATAAGGTGTAGGGGCGGCACACTCAAATTGGTAATTGTGAGGGAAACTTTTTTGAAGTGTTGGAATTGAGCTGGAATGTTTGAAGTGATGAAATAAAAATTTGCGATGAAATTGCAAACATGGCAGATAGAAGTATAAAGTACAATGAATATGAAGATATGAGAATTATTTAAAGTTAAAAGAAATAGGTCAAGAAATGAATTGAAAATTTATAAAATAAGCCTGAGGGAAGTATTTTGAGAAAATTAAGTATGTAAAGTAATGATATGAAACTAAATGTGAAAGATGAGTATGTAATCTAAGTCATGTTTGTATGGAAATGTGAAAACCCGGAATCATGTTGTTCACTAAAAAAAAAAGATATTTTTAAACTGTGGAAAACTGAAATAAAAATTAAAAAGGAAAAAAAAAGAAAAAGGAGGGTAGGCCTGTTCCTGAAAATTCATAAGGGTAGTCCTCACTGACTACCTGACTCGAATTTATGATGGTTGCAGTGTCCCGGGGTCAAGTGATCCCCTTTTGCGACCACCTGACAAGCCAAGTGAATGGAGGAAGCCAGATTCATTAACAATCGAGTTACTAACTTATCAACTGCAGTGATTCACTTAACAGCCGTGGCTCAAGGGAAGTCGTAAAAAAAGGGGGGCAAAGTTCCCTTAACCAATTTCTCACTTGGTGACGGACATTCTGGGCTCAACTGTGATCACAAGCCGAGGACTACCTCTATATTTCTGTTTCTGAGTAGGAAAGTTCTTGAATTCCCCCAGATCCTCAGGGGTGGAGGGTGGGGACACCTACCTTCATCGGGCAGGTCTTTTTGTCAGGGCTCCTCTGGGCCGCCGCTTCAAAGCAATAGCCCACCCTCTGGCCAGGGGGCCAGTGGGAGGGCGCCAGCTTTTCCATAAACTCCTCCAAGCTAATGACTCGGTGGTATTCTAGCAGCGGGGCCAGCTTGAAGTATTCTTGGTAAGGGACGTGTAGCTGCAGTGGAAAGAAACCCACGTTTACACAAGTACACGGAAGACATAATGAGTTGATTATAGCAAATACACATCGTGCTTAAATTAAAAAAAGGCGAACACTTCCTATTCGGAGGACAAATGGGCAGGTTGGATATAGTCTTGAAATGAGCATTAGGGCCTTAATAAAAAGGGAACTTGCAGTGATCTTTGCAGGTAGATCAGAGCTACTTAAGGTGCTGACCAGGAGTCGGGGAGTTCTAGTAGGTCAGGTACAAAAGCCAAGTGGGTGGCTTTGGGCCAATCACCAGGAGACGGTGAGTTCTAGTCCCGCCTTAGGCATGAAAGCCGGCTGGGTGACTTTGGGCCAATCACCAGGAGATGGTGAGTTCTAGTCCCGCCTTGGATGTGAAAGCCAGTTGGGTGATTGGACCAGTCCCTCTCTCAGCCCAACCCATCTCATCTCACAGGATTGTGGTTGCAAGGAAAATAGGTGGAAGGAGTAGTAGGTACGCTGACCACTTTGAGTTATTTATAAACAATAATTAAGGTGGGATAAAAATCAAATAAATAATACATCAAAAGCTCGGAATACTAGCCAAGCAACTAACAGAGATGTTTTGCAATGAAATGGGCGACATATAAATTTAATAACACAACATACATTCGTGTAGGGAGGTCTGTGATGCCGGTACTCGATCCACGGGGGCACAGCTAAAGTCCGATTCATCGTCTTAGCGAATGCCAAAGACCCGAGGAAGTGATCCGCTTGATTCCCAAATCTCCCTTGGAACAGAACATAAAGGACCGTTTCTTACTTGCTGGGCAAGGAAAAGGCAGCTTTAAGTCTCGACAGGCTTTTATCAAGAGCTTTCTCCCTTCACCAAGATCGAGTTCAACCGCAAGGCTGAAATTACAGATGCAGGTAGTCCTCGACTTACAACCACAATTGAGCCCCAAATTTCCGCTGCTAAGTAAGACGGTTGTCAAATGAGTTTTGCCCCATTTTAGAACCTTTCTTGCGGCGGTTCTTAAGTGGATCGCTGCAATTATTAAGTTAGTAACAGGCTGCTAAGTGAGTCTGCTTTGCCTGTCAGGTTGGAAGAGATAATCACATCACTCCAGGATACGCCAACCGTCATAAATATGAGCCAGTTACTAAGCATTTGCATTCTGGTCATCTGACGATGGGGATGCCGCAACGGTCGCGTGACCAACAGTCCTAAGTCACTTTTTTTCAGTGCTGTTGTAACTTTGAATGGTCATTAAGTGGAACTGTTGAAAGTCGAGGATTGCCTGTTAAAAATAAGCCACCTAGAGAAGCCCCAGAGTGAGAGAGGCAGCAAATAAATTTAACAAATAAATAAGAAAAGTGTTTCCCTGTGGTAAAGTGGGGAAAGGAGCCC